TCCATCCATCCATCCATCCATCCATCCATCCATCCATCCATCCATCCATTATATCCAGTCCATCACAGGGACACACAGAGACAAATGAGACAAACAACCATTTACTCTGTCACTCACACCTAGAGACAATTTAGAGTTACCAATCATTCTAACATGCATGTTCTTGGTCCATGGGAGGAAACCGGAGTACCCGGAGAAAACGCACGCATGCACATAGAGAACATGCAAACTCCATCCAGAGAGACTCCCTGGCCGAAATTTGATCCGACAGCGTGCTCGCTGAGAGCCGGAAGATCTAAAAACTGTGCCATTGTGCTGCACTATTGCAAATAATTTATTTTAAACATTTATTAAGCAGTGATTTGGTGAATTTACTGATTTTCAACTTTACAGGTTTGTATTATTATGTGTGCAGCAGATCACAATGATACAAATAGAAACATTCACAACATTTTTTATCACTGGGAAAATGATAGGGTTAGGATTAGAAACAATAAGATTTGTGCACAGTCCATCACTGCGCCAGGTCTCCTGCACAAACCCTAGGCCTGGATGGGGGATCCAGGCCTCCAGCTATGCCCTCACTCCACCGAAGGTTCCAAGTAGGGAGAGTATTATGTGGTAGATGGGCCCAGGGTTCCTGTCAGGGTGCAGGTTTAGGCTTGGCAGTCGGGGCTAAGTACATGGTCAAAGGGTGAGGTTATGGTCAGGGGAATAAAGGGTGAACCCAGTACTGTACTGCTAAACATGTTTACAAAAAAATCTACATATATGCTGTTAAGAGTTATTCATATGGGTAGAGGTAGGGCAGCCGACTTGGGACCCGAAAGTCCCAAGTTCGATCCCCAGCCATTCCCACATCTCGTGGTGTCTCTGAGCAAGACACATAATCCCTAATTGCTCCCCAGGCGCTTACATCTGCCCACTGCTCCACCTGGGTGTATCCCAGGTGCGATGGGTTAACTACACAGAACTAATTTCGCCAGTTTTAGTGAACAAGAAGCTGTTTCACAGAATTTAAGGGATTAAGCCTGGATTTTCTTAATATTTGG